GAGGTACAGCGGATGGAGAGGGACCAGCTGGACGAGCCAAACACCTCGGACAGTGAGGTGGGTGCTCAGCCCCACACTGGGGCGGGGCTGTGGCAACAGGGCTGCCCCAGGCTTAGGGGGAGGGTCCTTCCCCTAACCACACCCCCACCCCCTCAGGGGGGCCTGAGCTCCGAGGCAGGGGCCACATTGAGCACACCAGGGAACAGGTGCTTCTGTGCCAAGGAGCATGCGCGTGGCCTGCAGCAGAAGAGGAAGCGGGCCTTGGACTCAGACCCGGACCCAGACCCGTGGAGAAAAGGTACCCGGGGCCAGAGGCAGGCTGCGGGCCAGTGCAGCATCGGTGCCCCCAGCCCACCTTTCCTGCTGCTTGGAGCCCAGAAGCCAGCCCTGCAGCCTCTCCCAGGGCAGCCCAGGAGAAGGACCAGGGTCAGGCCAGGGAGAACCCTGACTGCACTCCCTCCTCCCCGGGCCGGCCCCTTCTACCCTAGCCTGTTTCCCTCCAGAAACAGGGTGATACCAGGGCTGGTGTGCGATCTCAGTGGGATAAAGCTCAGGACAGCCGTATGGCCGTTGTCATCACAGGGGAAAAGCAGCCACCAGGCCTGGCGGTCCCGAACCCCTGCCCCCCTCAGGCCCAGTTTGGGCGTGCGCAGGGGCTCCTGGACCCTCTTGTCCACTTTCAAAACAAAGTAGCAGCAGAGGGTGCAGCCCTCTGGGTGTGGGCACGTTTGTTCCCTCCAGGGGGCTGGGGGCTGCTCACGTTTACCCAGGGTGGTGCCTGGAGGCTCCTCCCAGGCCAGCGGGAGCCAGGGGTCCCGGCCCAGGATATCGGGATGCCCTTCCACTTCCTACTCTGGCCACAACGGTAGCTCCGGCCGGGCCTCCAGGCACCCGTGAGAGCCTCTGGACGCCTGAGCTAATACCGGATGCTACCGTAGTGCTTGTCCAATAGGCCCACGACGCAGGCTGGGCTGTGGCCACCACAATGTGCCATTGTTGCCAGGAAGGTGATCGCAGCCTGTGTTTGCGGGGCAAGCGGTGGAGGCCAGCACACGTGTGATCTCATGGCACTTCCTGTGAGACACTTCGGAAAGCTGACCTGGTGGGCAGCTGGTGTCCGCCCCACCCCCCACTCTGAGTCAAGTCCACCGGGGCAGGGGCTCCCAGCAGGCACCCGCATGCCCCAACACCCACAGTGCTGGTCAGTGAGAACAGGGCCCAGCTTGTGCCAGGCAGGAAGCCACACGGCTCAGCGCCAGGGGCAGTACCCTGACATCTTGTAGGGGTTCGAGGCAGTGTCCAATCATTACTGCCTTTGGACCTGATGCCCCTGCCCGAGGATGAATTATCACTGTTCCACAGATAGAGATACTGAGGCTCAGAGGTGAGGTAACTTGCCCAAGGTCCTGAAGCTGGTCCACGGGGTCAGGATTCCATCCTGACCCGTCTGACCCGGAGCCAGAGCTAGTTCTGCATCAGAGACAGGCCTGAGGCCCAGCATCTCAGTGGGTCCCAGCTGTGAGGGTCTCAAGGACCAGATGGCCTTTCTTGTGGCCCCAGAGGGCAGGCCTGTGGAGGCACCCAGCCCATGTCTCAGGGATTCTGAGCATGTTTCCCCATGAGCTTGGTTGATCCAGAATGTCCCAGAGCCTCTGCAAGGCAGCAAGGGAGGCCCCAGGGCCAGATCAATTCCAGGCTCACACACCTGGGAGAGGGTCCACCCTCCCATCAAATTTTCAGGGTGCGCCCTCCAATCAGGGCACCCTGCTCCAGGGTCCATTGCTCTCAGGAACAAGCTGACTGCCAGCATGGGCTCTTGAGTTCCCAGAAACTTCCCGCGAGGGCCTGGGTGAGAGCCCGGCGTCGCTGCAGAGGAGGACACACAAGGGCCCCTCGTGCCTCCTGCCTAACCTCGGTCCACTTCCCGTAGCCTCCAAGAAGCCGTCCTGAGGAAGAAGGAACCTAGGGGAGCCAGGAGCCCGAGGGATCCCGAGGACAGCAGCCTCTCACCCAGCAACAGCAGCTGGGAAGAGACCCAGGGGCACCACAGCCTGCCCAGGTGGGCTCCCCACCCACTGCCCGTGGCCAGGACAGGCCACACCACCAGCCCAGCAGTGGGGGAGTATACTGGGTCCTGTCTCACGTCCAGAAGGGTTGGGAAGCCCAAAGTGGGTGGCCTTTGGCTGGTCTTTCAAAGCTCTCCGTCTCCACCCATCTCATAAATGGCCCTGCTGCCCACCCTTACCCCAGCATCTGCTCACTTGGTGCTGGTGGAGCGGAGCCCAGACGGCTCAGGCTCCAGCCACATCCCCGCCCCTGCTGAGCAGAGGCAGCCCTTCCCGGGCAGCTCCCTACTCCTCCGGGCAACACACACTCCGCTGGCTTCCCGGACCCCCAGGGCCCTGCGTGCCTGGCCGCCCATCCCTGGCAGGCATGGAGCTCTGAGGGGTAGTCTCGGGCGCCCCCTCATGGAGTCCCAGAGGCAGGCACTGGACAGTGAGGGTGCAGGGCCTTCTGCAGAGAGGGGTCGCAGAGAGCCAGAATAAAGCGTCAAGAAGGAGGGCGTGTGTAGCTGGCAGCTGGCAGGGTCGGGGGTCCACCAGGCCTCTGCCTTCCTGGGCAGGTGACTCAAGAGGCTCTTAAGTGCGTCCAAGGGTGGGTAGGTCACTCCCATTCTGAAGGGCAGGGCCCAAACCAGTCGCATTTGCAGACCATTACAGGGACCAGAGAACACTCGGGGAGGGCTGCAGGGAATGGAACCCAGAACACGCAGCAGCCTCCACGCAGAGCCCCCTCCTCCCTAACAGCTCTGAGCCCCTGGCCCCACACCTGCCCCTGACTTGTCAGCCCTGCGCGACCACAGCACAGCTTCCACCCTTGGCACTTGGGGATATTCTGCTTTAGGAGGGCAGGTCTCAGAGCGCCTCAGTGGGAGGAGCTTAAACAGGTTCCTGGATCCACTCCAGACTCACTGAATCAGGATCCTGGGGTGGGCCTGGGAATCCGTGTTTTAAGAAGCTTCCAGGGGCAATTTCCCTGTGGGTGAAGTTTGAGAACTGCCCTTCCGAGGCAAAGGCAGGACACCGGGCAGTAGCTGGGCAAACTGGGGGTGCAGGCCTGACAAAAAGAGCCACTGCTCCCCACCTCACTCCCTGTGGCCCGTCTGCCTGCTGGCCCAAGAGGTCAGAGAGACTAAATTCCCAAGAGGGAAATCCAGGGGGAGGGGGGTATGCAAAGTTCCAATTGTTAAAGGTTGCTCTGATTTTTCTGAAATAAAATAAAACAAAACCTGTGTGCTCCATTCACATCTGACACGTAGGCCAGGTTTGGCTCGTGGGCATCCAGGGTGGTGAAGAAGCCAAGTCTCCAAGCGCCTGGCGAGAGGGCACAGAACCTGGAAGAGGACCACATCCCTCCCCACTGTCCCTGCAGCACCCCCAACACAGCACCAGCTGGCAGCGGAGGAGTCTGCACGGCCTGGCTCCCTTGTCATGCAGCAGACAGCATGGTTTGGGGGCTGAGGGGCACAAACAGGTGACACCCATCGTCCCTTTTATAAGCTCAACTACTAGCCACCCGTGTGTGAGCCCCCCGCCACCTGCCGGGTCCTCCTACTAGCAGCAGCTGGCCAGCAGGGCCAGCCCCTGGAGCCCTCGTCAATGATGGTGATGCCACCCGGACACTCTGCCTCATTTCCCTGCTGCACATCCATGCCAGCCTCCTCCAGGCAGACAGGAGCTCCGCAGACCAGGGCTGTGTCTGCCCCACCCTACATGCACCCCCAGCACCTGCACAGATGAGACAAACGTGTGTGCCATGTGTGGTTCCATGCAGAGCTGCGGGAGCGAACCACAGGTCACGTGCCAGGTCTCCAGCCACACCGCAGACCCGGCGCTGGGGTTGTCCTAGCTGAGGCAGCTCGGTCCTAACAATACCTTGAGGTCGCGAGCACTGTCCTCACTTGAAGGGAGAAGTAAACCTGCCGGCAGAGCGCTGGACAGAGCAGGCCAGTGGCACAGAGGTGGCTGCAGGACCCTGCCCGCAAAACACAGGTGGGCTCCTGGGGGCTCCAGAAGGCAGCACGTGAGCGTGAAGTTGGTCCTGGATACAGAAGACAGACGAACTGAGGCCTGGCAACCCGCAGACTCAAGGTCGTTTGCTGCTTTGGGAAGTGCAGGACCCTACCTGGGGCTGAAGGCCCAGCACCGGCCCCACCAGCCTGTGGCAGGTGCCGTCTCCCTTCAGACCCGCGGTCTCCTCTTCAGTGAGAGAGGCCAGGTGGCACGGCGGCCATTCCCAGGAGCCCGGGGGATCCCCTCTTCAAGGGACCGCCCAGGCGGCGGAGGGCACAGCTCCAGCCCCCGCACCCCAGCCTCCCCCGCGAAGACACACACCCGCATAGAGGAAGTGCGCTGGAGCCTGAAGACGAGGCTCAAAGGTGGCTGG